ATTTTTAAATAATTTCTCCTGATATTTAAAATACAAGACACAATTTTATTACCTTCTTTTGGTCATACGACATTAACTCGTAAAAATTACGGAAATTTTTTGAAAAATTCCACGGAAAAACAATTTGTATAATTTTCCTTATCTCCCGTTGATAACATAGGGATATTACAAAAATTTGTCACCTTTCAAATTTCCTACCGTTTTTCGCGATATTTTTCAAAGAAAAGAAATTCTCCGATAAACTTACAATGTTGCAAACAAAGGAAACAATTAAATTGGAACGGAAGACAATACTATGCACCGAGAAGAAAGTGAAACGGTGTTTTTCAACCAGAACCGAGAAGTTCAGTGGTTCTTTAACATTGAAAGTTTTCTGGGGCGAAAGTTCGCTAAGTTCTTTCAGTTTTCGAATACAATCCACTTAGCTCGCCTGATGTACCGGCAACAATCGGTTCTCGTTCGAGAAACAACCGCAAACCTTTTGGAAAATATGACATATATGTGAAATAATCAATCTTTAGATTTATCTTCGAGTACTTTGTCGAGTATATATTGTATTATTAATACTGTTACATATCGTCGTGTATTAAATGGTCCGGCCAAGGCCAAATCATTTTAATTTTAATCCAACTGAATTTTGTGCCGAATCCACGAAACTGAAGGAGAATGATATCATTTGTTTTGTAACATGATCGCCTGGCAGTGGCGCTGGTTACGCTATCATTTCTAAATCTGTAATTCATGGTGACCCAAATTATGGTCAATCATGATTTTGTATCAGTTGTCCGATTTTTCCGTTCGATGATGTACATTTGTTTCCACAAAAATTGTAACTCGTATTATATATTATATTACATATCTTTCAACTCGTCTAAAAAAAAAAAGAAAATACTACAACTTAAACGTTACAAACGATTTTCTATTTACTCGATTTTTGAGAATTCGTGATTGTTTATTCTCAGATTTCAATTCTTAGATCAAATCCTTCGAAATTGACAATTGTTTACTTACTCGTGTCTTCAATTTTTACATTTCTCAATTTTCACTTCTCGAGTCTGAACTTTTTGCGTACAAAATCATCTGAGTGAAAAATTCCCAACTTCCAGTTTACCAATTTCACAAAACTCCCGTTTCCTCAGTTTTACCAATTAAACCGTTCCCCGCCGTTCTCGACGCTTAATCTTCAATTTAAAGGACTATAAAAATCACTCGAGCAAATTTTTTCGATCCCTCGATTTCCAATTTCCCAGTTCCCCCAAATTTCACCGTCAGTCTCTTCGAACGAAATTAATCAGGAAGAATTACGAAGCCCGGCGTAGCAAGAAAATATTAATAAGCGATGGCGTGATTTCAGCCTGGCCTATTTCGTCCGACACGCCGTGAAGTTCGCCGTGTCACGGAATTAATCGAGTTCTTCCCCCACCCCTCGACGTTCCCCTCTATTTTTAGACACGTTCGCGTAATTGAATGTCAATTCCGTGGCCGTTAACGAGCCGCCACGAGGTTGGCAACACTGGCCAACCTTAATACATACATAGAAACGATCAACGGTAATGATTGTGAATTTTTCACTAAATGATCGCCATTTTCTTTTTAATCCTTGCATTAACTTACCCGGTGTCACCGTTGTTCAGCGTACCGCGGTTCACTTTATTACGAGAGTCGTTCGATAAGTAAACAGTGGAACATAGGGCTAGAAGTAACCTAAGTAAAATAACACTAAAACAACCAAACACGTTTAAATCACGAATTTCAGATTTCTTACTTTAAAATATAGAAATTATTAAGATGCTTTTATATGTATATGCCTATTTATTTTTCATGAAACAAAAAGTTCTTTATACAGTATATACGTAAATCTACCAAACGGGGAAAAATATACTATATTCAATTCCGGTTGTTCTAGTGTTACTATCGTTTATTCAATCAACCTCACGATTTGCCTATTTTTCAGCATAATTCCCTGCTACGTTCAACGCAATGCTGGCCTAATTCGCAATTTTGGGGGGACAACTTTAATTCTATAGTGGCCTAAGCAAACTTCCAACAAAAAGAAAGAAAAACATTTACAAAACCATACACGTATACCTGAAAATAGAAACTTAAAGAAATATTTCAGAACCTCGATAATTTCAGTAGCCATTATCTGAAAACAAACTTTTTGAGGTTAGGCCACTATTGGGCTGATTGTCTCTGTTATGCATTTCTGCCATCGCTCTACCAGTTTCTTTTATACAACCAACAAAGAATTCTTTGCATTGTTTTTGTAGCCAGTTTTGCACATTGGTTTTCACATCTTGTATGCTGTGAAACTTGATTGGACCAAAAAGAAATCTGATCGGGTGAGATCTGGACAATATGGCGGACGTGGCAAAACTTCCCAACCTAAGTTTTCCTAATTTTTTAATTTTGTTGTATACTATATTTGATGTATACTGAAATAGTTGTCAAACAGCTGTTTTAAATTGACGTCAGTGATGACGTTGATTTTAAATATACCGTACTTCTTCTACAGATATTTTTCTGAACTAGAGCTCCTTGTCTCTTTACTTATCGAATGACCCTCGTAGTTAGATACACAGGGTGGTCCCAAAAGAAGTGCACTTTTTGAAAAATATCATAATGAAAAAGCTGTTTGGTCAAAGTGCACATTGCGTCACATCAGGACCTTTGCCAATTTGCGTAGCCAAGTTGTGTTTATCCGTACACTCAAAGTGCATGGATTTATTTTAAGAGTCCTAGTATCGTAAAACAGCCTGTATATCCTGCAAGAACCGCGCTAAAAGTAACCGTAAGATACGTCAAACTGCATCACGATCATTGTACCCGTAAATACATTGTAGGGCTAGGTAGTTGGTGCCAAGGTGTTGCCTGACGCCTAATCGTTTCCTGTTTCACGTCACGTGCCAAACGAGGACATTGACAAACCGCTTTTTAATGTTTCACTCGCTCGATAAAAACGATTCCTTTGATTTAGAAGTGCCCTCTCAGATTAGTGCAGCCCTCTAGTGTGACTGTTAATTCTGATGATTGATAGAGCTGGAAGAGAGGTTATGTTACAGAGGAGACACTTGAGTACCCTCGAATAAGATTTTCGATGACCAGAGAATTTTTGGAAGTACAATTAATTTTTAAGTAACGAACGCATAGAGATCTGTATTTAAATGTTCTTGGGAGTCTTCAGAGAACTTTTGAAAATTCAGTTATACTTCTGATTGGGGGAATCCCGAATTAGACATTTTCTATGCTCCAAATGATGTTCAGTCGATATTGCAGAATCACTATTACGTCTCTGATGTACATTTAAAAGTTTTTAGTGGTCTCCAGAGAATTTTTGGGAGATCAATTATATTTCTAACTGAGAGAGTCCCAAGTTCCTAAGTTCCAATAGTGCTCAAATATTATTCCAAAATCACTATTGCATTAATAACTTATATAATGAATGAATAAAAACTTTTGCTGGCCTCCAGAGAATTTTTCAAAGTTCTGTTATACTTCCAATTGAAACAAGCCTAATTTATCTACTTCCTAACCTCCAACAGTGTTCATCCATTACCGTAAATTCGCGAAAAACTCTCAACCCCTGCGGAATCTCCAATTTGAAAATGTTTCTCCTCAGAAGACAGCCGAAACTCGAGTGAACCTTCCAAAATTCCGAAAACTGAAAAGCAAAAGAGGGCACTCAGAGTGTGCTCGTTAGGGCCATTATAGCCCCATAATGCACCGTGCAAACCAAATCTCATTAATTTTTCACGTATCAGTGTCCCCGTACACCCAGCCTCCATTATTCCGGCGTTAATTAACGGGCCGATGGTAATTTATTTCCGAAGCCCTAATTGTTCGTCATCCACTATTCTCGGGGAACGTTTTCCCCGAGCACAGTGCACACCGTGTTCACCGGCGCCGGGTGCCCGTTTAATTGTTTATCGGTAGAAGAGTGGCCGTGTGTTTTCGAAACGCGTCGAAATATATTTGAAGAGGACTCATGCGAGGACCACAATGCGACAACTGACACCGCGTGCCTC